GAAAGGAGAGTAGGGAATTTCGTGAGAACGATGGATCCATACTTTGTAGGGAGAAATGCCGCCGTGTTACAGTACACACGATTCGCATACACGGATCAAGCGACGAGAAGGCGAATAAGCAACGCCGCAACTCCCAAGTCTGGAAGATTTGATGAGGAATGGAAAGAATTAGGCTTAGCTCCGATGAGGATGAGAGGCAGGACCGAATTGCCTGAAGCCTCATTAATCCTGACCAGTGTGAAAAAGGAGATGAAAGTGGGAGGAATATTGCAGACGAGAACTTTCCTAGCACCCTTCGGCTGCGAAGAAATCAAAGTGGTCCATGGAGAAGAGGAAGATAAATCGGCCGGTGTATTGCTCATACCGAGATTCCAGGAAGAAGCCGACAATGACGAACAAGGACCATCGAGCTCGAACAAGGATAAGTCTGAAGGAAATGACGGACAGGGTGGAAGCCGTCAAACCGAAGAACCCATGCAACAAGATCAAGCTGGTGGGGAAGACGACAGGGCATCGACAGGAGGAACATCCAGCCTGGATTTCAATATCTTCAGTGATCTTGAGAACAATGCAGATACGTTGGAAACGACTGAGCCAGCGGATGAAGGCATCTCGACACTGGAGCCTCCGTCAGCCTTTATGGAAATGAAACGGAATTTGCCGGAGAGCAGCTCTCCTGGCAATTCAAGAAATAACGACCAGAGAATCCTCATGGAATCACCTCGGAGGAGAAGAATAGAGGCCTCAGCCAGAGTACCTTTCTTGGGAACGCTGCCCGAAGAAGAATGGGAAGTACATCACCGAGACCACGAGAGTAGGACGGGATGCAAGCTGGACAGAGTGGCGTTTATGGAAGAAGTCTGGACCGTGGTTCAAAGCTATGGGACCCAGTCTATTCTAAAAACGGGTCTCAACCAACCCTTGATGAGAGAAGTCCTTGACAAGCTTGATGAGTGTGAAGGGAGACTGAGTGAGTTGTTGATCGACTCAGCCACTGATGAGAGTGAAGCGAATTCTCCCATCAAGATGACACCGCAGGACGATGAAGGAGAGGTGGTGTATCTGTCAAGAACCAGGAGAGGGACGATACGATCAAAAATGGTGATTGATAAAATCAATGCGATTAAAATGAAGTTAGGCAGCAGAGTGATGCCGAGGAGAGTTGGAAAGACGAAGGTGGATTCAGAAATATCGATGAAAACTGGTAACTCAGCGAAAGGGAAAACGTAATTGGAGGAGCATCATGTTGACGCATGACGAGTTTCCTTGCCACTGCTTGCTGCAGACCTACTGGTATCCCAAGCGTAGTAATCTGATGTTGATCTGGGACTCTGGAGAGCTGCTCTCCATGGGTTTACCAGATTCATCACAGCCCGTAACGATAGTGATAGTGGGAGTTATGATGGCGATACAATGGCTGGAAGCTCATGTGAGAGAAAATAACAAACAGGAGGCACCGACGAGAGAACAGTTGCGGAAATTAGATTGTCTAAAAGATTTAGATCTTTTTGAGACAATGTGCAAAGTTCTAAACATTCCGATGGAAGTGAAGAAGATATGGGCAAGAAAACGATTGATGCCATGGTTCAGAGCTAACATGACTGCATGGTTGTACGAGTATGCGAAAAAGCATATGTCGAAGCACGGCAGGGTGTACAGTGAATATCAGCTGGACATTGGAGCAGGAGCTTTGAAAGCGAGCTCTCGTGAGTCATCGGAATGCAGTGACTACCGCGGTGAAAAGAATTTCCAGGACGAGTTTATGTGTGTGAAAAACTCAAGTGAGAAACCAAGCAACCAAGTTGTAATTGAAAACTGAAACATTAAGTTGAGTTTTGAGATTTGCATTTATAGATTTGCAATTTAATTTTAGTTGAAGTGGCTTTAGAGACTCTCACTTACTATTTATGTAGGAAGGCTTAAGTGAAGGAGTATATTTAAATATTCCAGCCTGCATGACTGTTTTTAATCAGCTAGGAGAACTGATCACTTTGTGGTGACATGGAAGGCTTGAGTAATCTCTCGAAGAGGGAGATTGTTTCATTGTTCTTTCTAGCCACAGAGTTTCTTAGTTTTATTATTCAGGACAATAACAAGCAAGATTTCCGAAGGGAAAAGCGTAGTAGGATAATTTTAGCTTGTTGGTTGGCAGGACTGTCCTGCAAGCCAACACCTTTTAAATCTAAGAGAAAAAGTTTTAATCGGGACATTGACATTGGAAGTCAGAAAATATGTTTTATCTTAAGTCATATCCTCAATGTGCAGATTAATGAGGGAATTTGAAGGCTATAGTGATGTAGTATGATGCCATTTATATTCTGCAGTGAGTCGATGTGACGTGGATAAAAGTAGTTTCGTGCATTTTGTAAATTCTGTTCGATGACACTGTGACCATTTTACGAATATTGCGTGATTCAATGAGGACATTGACCGGAGTGTCCGGGGAGTATGTGACATTCGACCAGAATGTGAAAAATGCAATCTCTGCAGAATCCGAATTTTTAGCAGCGAGCCTTCCGGATTGGTGATTATTAAGAACTAAGAACGTTATTGGAACGATTGGCCAGACGGTGAGGGCTGGAATATTCTGGTATTTTAAAATTTCAAAAATTCGAATTATGACGTCATATTTCTGAGAAACGTCAGAAACGGCCATTTTGGCTAAAACAAGAAAGAAAAACAGAACAACATTAGCTGCGCTAACAACAACTACGAAATCGAGATTGGAAAACGAAAACGAGTTACAGAGTAACAGAGAACACTCCAAGTTGCAACTATTGTGCCGCTACAATAGTTGCAAGGCCGTTGCGAACAACGGTGAAGGGTGAAAGACGGCCTTCCGGATTAAGAAGAAATCAGGATTAGTAAGCTTGATCCAGCAGATTTGTCAATCCGGAGGGGTAAAGGAACTGAAACTTTTATCCTGTTACATAAACTTTTAGCTTCCTGTCATGTCCTGATTTGAATTTAATTAACATCTAGATTCATTTTTGATAAGGATGAGAAGCTAGGAGTTGGGGGAAAGGGTTGATCCATCTTCGATGGAGATGATGATTTTTATCTACTGAACAAAAACAATCGTAATATAATAAGTAGTAGCCCTGTTTTTAGGAGTGACCTCGTGGTCTGGGGATACTGAGACCCAGCCATGAGCTCACTGTTTCTGCATGTAATCTAGTTAATTTGAGTGTTTTGACCGAAGCCGAAAGCAGTAACGTTTTTGTCGACCCGATGTTAGAAAGACCACCGAAAAGTACTGGCTTGGTAGAGACGGTGAAAAGCATGCAAAGCTCTGTTTAGACGTTAGCCAGTCGTCTTAAGACTTAGTTTTGTCTTCCGTTGATATGTATCTTCCGGGCGAATGTTACAGACGTTGAAAAGCACGGATGTTATTATCAGTCGATATAACCCGGCAGATATTGGACACCTGAAATCTAAACAACAGCTCCTGAAAATAGTCTCTGAAAATTTCATTTTCAATTTATTTTTCAAGTTTTTATTTTTTAAAATTTGTTACTACTACTTTAAAATTTGCCCCTGCATGGTGATATACCTAATTTTTATCAAACTGGCTACAATCGTTACAACAGGAATCCCGAGAATCAGGAAGGGTATTGGGTCGACGTGTCCAGTCTTCCGGGAAGAAATATGACTGTTATTTGCCAGTATTCCAGAATCCGGAGGGTTCTCGGGAGGAAACTGTAACTCTGTTTTTATGAACTTGTAGCTTCTGGTCATGTCCTGAATCAAATTAATGACATCTAAATTTGTTTTCAGATTATGAGAAGCTAGGAGTTGAGGGAAAGGATTGATCCATCTGCGATGTAGATTATGATTTTTATCTGCTGAACAAAAACAATAGTAAAACTCTTAACTACCAAAACTCTTATCTACCAATGGAGATATCACTTCCATATCTAGAAAATTCCAAGAATTTTGACTGGAATACGTGATGAAGGGACTCCTGACTGTAACCTCGGTTACTATGATACTTCTGACCTTCTGATTACCTTGAAAAGAAAAAAAAATTTCAGAGAAAAGTGTCCACTTCGAACAAAATCTGACTCGACGATCAATTTAGACCTGAATTAGATAATAGCAAATTACTTTGAGCGTTGTTTTGTCGGTACTCGTTCAGGATTTTAGTGCCGATAAAAACCTCGTTTTGAAGTATGGTCCGTTTAACTTCTGCCAGTAATTTAGGGAGTAAAAAAATCAAAGTTGTGATATTAGTCAATCATCAATTTATTTGATGATTGAATTTTTAAGAATTTTTTGGTTTCATCCGCGTGAAGCAATTGTTTTAGCGGCATCATGTTTCGTAACGAGCCATGGGTTCATCAAAAACTTCGGGACCATAGCTCTAAACCAGACCGTTTTTACCTTATTTTGTGAAGTGATGTGTCAAATTTTTGAACATAGCCAACAGATTGTTGGAAAAGAGTCATGAACACAGAAAAATGAAGAAAAAATACTGGTTTGTTTATGAAAAAAATAAACTTTTGAATTTCAAAGACAAAAATATATGACTGTGAGGCCCTTTGAAATTCCAGAACAATTAATGATAGAATTTTTTTTGATATAATTAACCCAGTTTTAGAAAACTGGATCAAATATAATTTTTTTATTCCGCTGGGAAATCAAAATGCGCTTTCCCAACTAGAATTCGATGACGTTTTTCGTGACCATTACAGTTTTTCTGTTCGATAGTGGAGTTTGTCTTCCTTTCAACGAAAGAAGTGAACGGAATTTAAAAAGAAATCAAAAGGCCCGCGAAAAATCTAATTTGAGCATGAAAAACAAATTTTAAGATTTTTTCCTGAAAAAAATCAAAAAATTTATCAAGATCTATACAAGAGTATAGATCACTACGTTGTTCATGACATTTTTAAAGACGTATTTCAGTAATTATTACGTCCCTGATGTAGAATTAATTTAAAGCCGTGGGAGTGTACAATTGTTGATTACTTAAAAAACTGCGAGGTTATAATTTCAGATATCAACCTGGTTTGCGTCATGTCCTCGCCAGGAGCTTATGGTGCCGGTATGGCTGGGGGAGCTTTCGATCCAATGAGTTTTATCAAAAAACCTCAAGTTATTACTCGAGTTGTGTGCTGGCTATTCTCAATAGTTGTTTTCGCTTGTATCTCAACAGGTGCATGGCTAGTTTTGACCGATGAAAAAGATTACACTGGTGACGCTGTTTGCCAAATGAACGCTGACGACAATGCGTGTCGTTTTTCAGTAGCAATTGGTAAGTTTTATCTATTGTGAAAAAGTAAAGCATAATGTTACGCAGGGGTTGGTAAAAGTCAATTGGTAGACAAAAAGTCAATTACCTGAAAAGATTGTCAATTAATTGAATTGTTTGCTCAAGCTTTGTCAATTATCAATTAATTGCAATTAATTGGCTCTCATTCATAGCTTTAGCAACGTCAGTTTTCGACCAAAATTGATTGTTAACATTCAGAAACAGCTGCATTTCAAGGTTCATCGGCAAAATACTCTGTCGTAAGTCACCAAAAGCAAATCCCGCTTTGAAAAATCTTTCTGCCATGTTGGAAGTTGGCCTCAAATATCGTTCATCTTGATAAACACTGTCCGCTGATTTCTTTGTACACTGTAAATCAATAATAGCTTTACATTTCTAAGACAAAATCATATAAATTTCAAAGTTAGCAAACCTTCAATTAATTGGCGGATTTTGTCAATTGTCAAAAATTGGAAAAACAAAGAAGTCAATTAATTGTATCCAATTAATTGCAATTAATTGGTCACCAATTGACTTTTACCAAGCCCTGATGTTAAGTGCCAATGAACGAAATGAAGACACTTATTTAGGTCGAATGTTTTTTTTTTTCAGAAAAAAAGTAAAATAATTGTTCACATTAGATTGTATCTTTTTTGCGGTTTGATTTGAATTTGTCCTAAGATTACTTCAAATCCATTTGCTAACTACTAGGCAGATTGGGCTTTCCAACAACAAAAGAGCTAACGGAGCAAATGAAAGAAGATTCAGAAAGGGGATTTTTTTCAAGATTTCCCAGCGGAATTGATCCAGTATTTCCACATTGGGTTAGTTTTTTTTTTGGGAAAAGTTTAGATCATATAATATTCTTGATAATGAATGAGCTTCAAATTAAAATTTTTGTTCTTTGAAGATCAAAATTTTCATTTTTTGTTGCTGTCCTTGAGTTCATTGATACTTTTCCTACTCTGTTGGCTGTGCAGGAAATATTTAACTCTCACTGCTGTAAGCCTACTCTTATGATGTTTTTATAGGAGTGATAGCATTTCTAGCCTGCATAGTGTTCCTAGTGGTAGACGCGTTGTTTGATCACTTCTCCAACATTAAACATAGAAAGTACGCAGTCCTGTCAGACTTAGTTTTTTCCGGAATCTGGACCTTCATGTGGTTCGTAACCTTCTGCTACTTGTGTGATGCGTGGAGAAAGACCTCGGTCGGTCGATTGACTCCGAAAGGCAAAGATTATGAAGATGCCGGCGACATCAAGGCGGCCATCGCCTTCTCCTTCTTCTCTATTCCTCCGTGGGTTAGTTGATCAATCGATCAAATATTAACTGGCTATTCAATTAGCTCAAATGTCCCCCTTACTTAGACAAATTTGTGTGAGAGTTGAAGAACTTTTGTTACAAGAGAAAATCTAGGGTTTTTTTTAGGTCTTCGAGAAAACCTTGGCTTTGATCAAAGCCATACACCCCCACCGAAATCAAAGACATCCAAAATCTACCCTAATTTATCATCAGATGAGGGATAATAAGCTATATGTATAAACAAACTATTAACAGACAATCTAGCAACAAAAACGACGTGGTTCTTTCTTACGCATGTATTTCTTGCTCAAACGTAAATGATCTAATCAGAGGTACTCCGTTTTGAACCAATCTGTTTTGATACAGGGAATTCTAACGTACCTGGCATTCAGACGGTTCAAGGAGGGAGTGTCTGCAGAGTTCAGTCCCTCTCAGGGCTTCGAGGACATAGGTGGGGGACCTGCGGATGGCTACTACCCAGATTTAGGACAGGAAGCAGCTTACCACAACCAGAGCTTCGGTTTGTTAATAATTAATGTAGAAGAAGCATGCGAAACAGTAATAAACAGTACAGTAATCAGGATTATAAACCAAAGGTGATTGCTGTGATCAGTTCAAAATGGTAGTTAATACGCGTAAAAGAACAAAGGAAAAAGTCTTAAAATGCACTAATAACTACTCAAGTGCATTCATGCATAGTAATGAACTTAGACATATATGCAATTTTTGAGTTCAATTTAAATAGGTTAAAAATAAGGTTAATTGCGCGCTCCTATTACTAAAGCGGAAAACGTGAACGACTTCTAATTTCGGAAGTGGATTTTAGTTTTAAGATTTCCCAGTGGACTGAAAAATTTACCCATGATCCAGTTTTCTTTAAGTAAGTTAATTTTATCATAAAACTGTCATCCATAATATGATCCTGAGTTCAAAGAGCTTTAATTTGATACATAATTTTTTTTTCGAAAGTCGAAAAGTTTTTAATTATTATTTTTCGGTTTCCTTGTTCTTTTTAGAGTTTTACAACATTCTGATAGCTATGTTTTGAGTTTAAGTCTTAAATCCGAATGTTTCGCTGAAAAAATGTTCCATGTTTTTTTTTGAAATCTCGTTCTTTCACTTTTCTGTTCCCATTCAGATTAGCATTGTCATTATTATTTTGTAGAATAAACGCTTGTTAAGTTCGCGATGGAGAGTGATAATGGTGAAATTTTTCAGCAAATTATTTTTGTAAGCTTGATTGAATATGCGATCGATCATGTTGCATGTTGCTGGATGCTGTACGTTTTCAATCATCTTGAGGTCAGTAATGGTCTGCAGCATGTGGTTTATGTTTAATTATGTTCAGGTGCATAGCTGTTTTCGATAAATTTTTTTTGAATCAAATAGTGTTTTTAGGGATGGAGACTTATTTACCATATTTTAAGTAACTTGCTCTTCTACTGAAATTTCGATTCATCTTGTTTTTTTTAATGATCGGGCTCATTTTTTCGGAGACTTGCTTACAAGGGCTGCTTCTACGTTGATTTACTTTTTGTTGATGGCGTTAAGTTTTCTTGCTATTGACAAGACGAGTCTTCTCTGCAGATCGGGGAGTATGTGCCAGTCGGCCCTTTACTATGATAAGAATTCGATCTGACTTGTTCACTCTGAATAGTCGCTGAAGTGTGGAAATCGGCTTTAACAACCTTTTCAACAAATCTGTAAGAAATTGAGCTAGCTTTATCATGAAACAATTCTGTCCTTTTTAACTGGTCTTGTGGGAAAGCGCGCGTGCTTTTGGGTCCTAAGGTCTGGAGTTTGAATCCTGGTCGAGCCTTGTTTTTTTCCGATATGTATGAATTGAATGTTTTTTTTTGGGAAAACTTGAATTGTCCGACTAACCTTGATTGCGAGTTTTTGTCAGTTACATTTCAATGCAAGGAGTTTCCTTTTCTTTTAGTCAACTTCGATTGTAATAACCCTTGCGATTTTCATCAAAATTTATGAAGCATATGCGACATCTTGTGAATGGAGCTGTTTACGGGAAAAAGCCTAGTATCCATTTTCCCGTAAACGACTTTGTTCACAAGATTTTGCAGATGCTTCATCTTCCTGTATATTAAATTTGAAATCAATCAACCACCTGGCACATCTGGCATAGAGGTGACACACCTACTTGAGACGACAAAGGCTTGGGATTCGAGTCCAGCCGGGACCTTTTTTTTTTCAACGAGGAAGTTTTCTGCTTTGTCGGACTGGTCTGTCTGTTTATTTATGTCGGATTAGTTGCCGTAGCTCGGGCTCTTTCTGAATGTTCAGCTTTCTGCAATATTTCTGAATGCCATTTTCGAAGCTGCATTGGTGGATGTTTTTGAGTTACAAGATGTTTACGGAGTATTAGTTTTATTCTTTTTGAAAAAAAATAATTAATTTTCCCTATAAAAAGTGTTACTTGAATTTTTTTGATTTTTTCCTTGATTCTTTGTGCTCTGAATTATAACGTATGCGATTATTATGCGCGCGATCACCAAGCGTTATTAATTCGAATCATGGACATATTCTTCCAAACAATTTGTCCAACAAAATCACTGAATCATTTTCTTACGCTTGCGAATAACAAGCGTTATCAAACTGGAATATCGACTTTTTCTTCGGTTAACAACTTGAACAGAATCAATTGAACCACTTGTATCTTGGTTCATAACGATTCCAAACCTTTATTCGTTCCTGGCCGTTTTAGCCTCGAGGCAACGAATATGCCTGGGGGGACAGCCAAGGGCCTGGGCTCGAAAATGACAGGACCTGTTGTTTTTTATACGGGAAATGTTCTGTTTCAATAAAATTGTCGGCAAATTATTTGTCTGCTTATCTGTTGTCGGCTTAGTTGTCACATGTTGAAACCGTTTTTTTTGCGCGCATTTTCTTTAATGTTGCTTTTATTGTTTTAGTTACTCCTACAATTTGTAAATTTACTTACCGTGACTTCGTATTTCCTTTGTTGTTTTTTGTTTCGCTCAAAAAATTTATCGGCTCTAATTGTTTCGGCCTGTTCTTGATTGGCTTAATTCCCTAGTTTTGGGTCGTTTCAAGGGAGACACAACTTGAAAACTCCCCTCCGCACTTTTCATATTGGTTGTATATTTGACTTGTTGAAATTTCTTATTTGGTTGAATATTTGACCAATATTTTTTTTTTCATACCCCACTCAAATCTGCTTTTTGGTTTCAATGAATAGACTGGTTTTAAAAGCTGCCTGCATCAGCGGCTATCTAAGGTTTTACACAAAGTTATGGCCCTCGGAATAGTTAATTTTTTGATTTTTGACCGTTTTCTCAATTTTTTGAATATTTTTCAAATTTACCCTGCCATATTTGAGATTTTGGGTTCAATTCAAAGAACTGGTCATGGGAAGCTTTTTTATTACTCCCAAATTTTTTTGACACCAAAAGTTATGGCCCTCGGAAAGGTTTATTTTTTGACCGTTTTTTAAGTTTTGTTATTTCTCGAGAACTACCATTCCAAATATGAGACTTTGGGTCTAGTCGAAATTACGAGCCAAATTTTTTTTAGTTCACCGTTTTATGGTCTTTTCTCGCTAACTATCCTGCCAAATCTTATGTCATAGGTTTAATCGAAACAACAGGTTTTTGAAAGCCCGTCTTTATAACCGGCTTTATAACTGGGCCAATTTTTAGGTTGTGTTCAATCGAGAAACTCGGTTTTGGGAATCTTCTCTGCTTAAGCGGCCTTATCCTTCTCTTCGCGGGAAAAGGTCAAGGATTGTGAAAGTCATTTGACCGTTTTGTAGAACTTTTGACCGTTGTTTTGGAAATTTTTTGAATGTGTGTTCTTAAAATTACTCTAAAATCAAATTAAAAAAGTCATATTAAAATCAAATCTGAAATGAAAAGTTCAACTGAAAGAAGCGGTTGTTATAATGGGTCCTGCAGAAGCAGTGGCGCCTTGTTTTTTGCAAGAGAAATGTTTTGTTTTTGGTAAAATTATTCATCTCAATTTTTTACTCTTCTTATTTATTTTAGTAGAAAAACAACTAAGGTTTTGGGCAAAGATCAATTCTTGAAATAGCATGTTTCGTGCCGCATCAGTATAGCAAATTCATTGATTTACGACTTAAGAAAATTTTGGTTCACCTAGTTTTTTTTCTACTTTAAAATTTTTTTTCGACTTATGTTTTTTTATGTTTGCGTTGTATCGCAAGTGGTGCGAAGCTCCGTTTTGCCTCTGTGTCAAATAAGCGAGGTATATTTTGAGCAGGTGTCAATTCGAAAATGGAATTTTTTATCTGGTTTTCCTGCAAAAACAATACTTTATCTATTGATCCAGTTTAATAAAATTGGGTAATTTCGTCAAAAAAGTGTGAATCATAAATTTTTCTAGAAGGTCAAAGAGCTCAAAGGCCATTTTTTCTCTTTGAAATTTGAAATTTATTTGAACATTTTTTATGTTTTTTTTTGCGTTCATTGACTTTTTTCTCTACTGTCCAACTCTCTGTTGGCTATGTTTTTCGTTTGTTTTTAAATTTACCAACTCTTTTTTGGTATAAATCGTTTTTTTTTTCGTTTATTCGGCTTAAAAATTCCTTTTGGTGTATAATTAATTGGTTTAGTGGCATCATATTGCATCGTTAAATGAACGAAACAAGTTTACTGTGCGTGTGAGTCTTATGGGGGGGGGGGTGCGACAATATTTTTGAATGTTTTGAATTTTTTTAAACCGTTTTTTTTGCTTAACAACTTCTCGGCGCTAATACCACTTTGTTAAAATGCAAATGTAATTTTCTTATTTGACCTGTTTTTTAGAATAAAGTCAATTTTGGTTCAAGACAGATTTAGAAATTTTGGTAGATAAATTTTTCTCGACAATTTGAATACTTTTTTTTCGGTTGAGCGGCGTTCGTCTCATTTTCGGTGTGCTAGTTTGTCAAGCTATGTTAGTTGTATTGCAAGTGGTGCGAAGATCTGCTTCGCTTCTGTGTTGAAATTCGCTCTGTAATTTGTAAATGAATCAACTGTTTTGAATAAGTTCCTTTTTCGTTTATGAAGTTTAGCGTAATTTATATCGCCCTGGTCATTTTATTTTTCGTCGCTTAAAAAAGAAAAATAGATTTTGATGCTTTTATGCGTTTCAGGTTGGGCGTTCTCGAGCTTTAAAACTCAATAGTTCAAAAATTTTGACAACAAAAATTGATGACCCAGTTTTATCTATTTTTTTTTGTCAAAAATAATGATTGATCCAGTTTTATTGAAGTCGGATAGTTTTATGAAAGAAATGTTGACTTTTATGGATTCCTTAAATTTGAAGAGCTCTTAAGGTGATAGATGTAAAGTTATGCATAATAGTTTTTAAAAAATCTTTTTTTTCGGTTTCCTTCAAGTCATTGGCCTTGTTCCAACATTCTGTTGTCTGTTTTCAACTGGACGAGTAAACAGCAAGCAAAGAGACAACTATAACAGTTTGCTGTGTAAATAACGCAGAAAGTTCCAACCTTTTGAATAATGATTAACGAAAACTAATATATATTTTTTTAAAATAAATTTGTTGTTTGTTTTAGTTTGTGAGAGTAGATTAATTGATTAATGAGCCAAAAAAACTGATTCAAAATAGCTGAAGTAGTGAAATTTATTTGGCAATTCAATCTCAAGTTTCTAGACTGTGAAATCATTTGTATCAAATATTTAAAAAATTGAGACAGTTTCTCGGCACTGTCTATGCTTTTTGGTAACTATTCTGGAATCCCAATCACGTGCATCAGGTCTCTTATATAATACTACTCTTGGTCCACTGCGAGCTTTCTTAGAGGTAGTCAAAAAATAGGCGGAGAAAACACAGCTAATCCATAGTTCCTTTTCATCTCTCTAGGTGGGATGGAACGCACTATTGGTGGGAAGTATCCCAATTAACTTACAATTTAACAATTTTCCCATCCTATCTGCTGTCACTTTTGTTTGTCGGTGTAAGTAAATTCGATTAATGTAAATTTAAACAACATTATGAAAACTTGCAAGGAACTATGTCGTAGGATGTAGTTTTTCGCCCGATTTTAGGCAACTGGAAAATAGTTCGAGGGCTAGGAGTGTTTTTATAGTTGAGTTCTATTAGTTGTCATTCGGGTTCCCGAAAAATGGAAAAAATAGTGTCTGCTTCGAGAAAAACTGCTATCACTTATTTGGGACTCAGACTGAGTTAGGAAACTGCACGTGAAGTTTAGGGAACCACAGAGTAGATCTACATTTTCGGGGCAATTCTTTCATCTAAATCTGAATTTCATTTTTTTCTCGGTGTCTAATTGCTGCTGACAAGAAAAAGGCATTTTTTATTAGTGTTGAAAAGAAAATTGCGTTTTCTTTATTGCTTTTGGTTGCCTTTTATTCCTTTTTTCAGATGTTTTATCTTTCAAGGAAATTTGATTTATGATTTGAAAAGAAAGCGTTGCAATGTGGCGCTGCATACCAGGATCAAAGGTTCATTCCTGTTGCGATGTAAGTATAACATGGAAATTTAAATAGGATCTGCATGAGAATATTTGATGCTGTAACAGGAAAACAAATCTGCGGCTCATGCTAGATACCGCAATTATTGACAACGGGTTGATCAAATTCCAGCTAATAAATGAAATCTCAACATTTAAAAAATAATTTAGCTGACTTCAGCTTGGTCCTCAAATGTAGTTTTTTTAGGAATGTAGCAGAGAAAATTATTAGGGCTCAACTTTTTTGGCGGCAATGCTATCTAAGAATAAGTTGATGATTGATTTTTAAATTTATTTATTATCGGAAATCTTGATTTGATTACCTATTGTTTCAAGTCACAGAATCTATTTGTGCTGGTTGGAATCCAGCCGGTTGCTTCAAACTAGATTAATTCTTTGTTAATTTGACTCAATTTTTTTGAACTTAACTTCCTGAAAAAAACTTAGATTGAGATTATCATCAAATTATTTTAATAGCGTCATCAAATGTTCAAAGTTGCAATTGGTAATCTGACGAGAATCTAGTTGTCGTTTAATGCTCAAAAAGCACGTTGCCGCAATAATGTGAGCTAATTTCAAACTCATCATGATCCTCGTATCGTGTCAATATAACCTGCGAGAACATGTGCACCTGTAACCAGGAACGTTACTTATTTCCATTAAGCAACTTTTGAAAATCTGTAAGAAATTGACTTTCATTGTTTTAACGAAACTTCAATAACTTCCAAGCCCTAATAACTTCAATAATTTCCTAGTCCTATAACTTGGGATCCTACCGTCGTAGAAGGAAATTGTTTCTAGAAAAAATTGAATTGTCGGACTGTTGGTTCCAGAGTATGATTTTTCTTTCCGATTCGAGCAATTTTACTGTAACTGGAGGGCGTTCTTTGAGTTTTTGCTTGAATGGTTGTGGTTTTTTATGATAATCGGCTTGGTTCTTTTTTATGATAATCGGCAACCTTATATTGCTTCCTTTGAGCGTTAAGTTATAGCAAACATTTTTTAATCAACATATTAGTGTTCTGTTCAACAGGCGTCTACTCAATGTTTTTGGCTTAATTGCGGCTTGGTAAATGATTCTGACTGCTTATTCAACGCTGATGACTGTGTTCCTTGGCATGTCTTCTTCAAATTGAACGGTATTAAAGACAGACATGAAATTTTTGTAAATTTAATTTTTTCAGGCATTTTTTGGACCTAGTTGTTTGTGTCTTAATTTTTATCACCTTAGCTTGCAATGCTCGGCTTTGCCTCTTTCTGAAAAAAAATTCATTGAGAAAATTTTGCTGTCTCAAACTAAGTTTTCTTTCCTTAATGAACAATAGCATACTCCTAGATAGGATGGCACTGAGTCAATAGATGGCCTGCATTAAAAGGATGATTATTTATGTGTTCCACATTGAACAAAATTTTTTTTAGCCTACTAGATTTGTTTTAAGTACGTTTGACTAGAAACTTGCATTTTAAAATTTGCTGTCTCAATGTTCGAGCCAGTCTAGGATATAACGTTGGATCTGCTGTTGCTATTTAGGCCTATCACAAGTCATTATCAGCTCATGAAGCCTCAAATGTCACGAATTTAATTTGAGCATGATTTTTCTTCATTCTATGTAATTGTTTCAGCCTCATTTTTTTAAAATAGGATCTTGTTAACAAATCCCCCCCCCTATTTCGATTTTCTGAAATTCAACTTTGGCTGGCATATTTTCAATAGTTTAAAACAATTTTCAAATAATATATTTAATTGAAATTCTTTATGGAGGAATTATATAATGGGTGAGTAATACAAATACGAACGCGCGAAATTGAAAACCCAATCAATTATTGACATTTTTGAAATGCATATTTTGTACAGAAATGGTTGTCAAAAATAAAACATGCATAGGAGAGGGGGGATAGTTAGCAAGGTCCAAAAGGGGGGGATAGTTAACAAGATCCAAAAACAGTTTGAATCAAAGTCCCAATCATGAACTAAGTAAGTTCCTGTTAGTTGAGTTTTCTGGTAGTTCAAATTTATTAATTTGATCATTTCTTTTAGGTGGGGGAAACGCTTACCAAGGTCAGGGTTTCTAGAACACGGCCCAAAGCAGCCACTTTGATGAATACTTCACAAATGACATCTGGTGAGTTTGCAGCAGGGAAAGAAAATGCCGAGGTTCATTGGGCCCACTAAACTGATTTTTTTTCGCGAACACCAAAAAAGTTAGAAGTCAGCTAAGTTTTGACCCTAACAGTCTGATTTTTCTCAATCATACTTCTCAATTATACGTTTTCTTTTTTCGTTAACTGAAGAATTAGTCTCATGCGCGTTTGAGTAGGTTGAGCATTGATCAGACTTAATACTTCTTCCATCATGTGTAGAGAAAATTTACCAATCGGCGATGTTTTGGAAGTTCGGTGTTCAAGCTAAACCAAAATAAGAGCTATGTGAAATGTTTTTATCTATTTATATATGTATCTGCAATGAAAATTCCTCTATATGTTTCCAGAAAGTCTATTTCTATCTTTGTGTATATCTTGTTTTTCAAAATCACTTGTAAAGTTTAGTAGTGTAGTATTTTTTGATGCCTTGCCCTAAAGATTCTTGATAGGAATTGATAGTCCAATTATTATGCAATCATCCAAATGTGCAATTCTTTCAAAATGTGCAAATAAATTAAAACAAAATCAATTTTTCTGGAAGGCTTCAATTTTTGGTCGCTTGATTTACAGGAAAGATTATCTTACTTGGATATCAAAAGAAATTATATGCCTTTTAATTGGAAATATAAAGTTGAAAGCGGGATTTTTTCAAGCCAATTCCAGACGTGCAACCTGGCCTTGCTTTCGAGCCAGTTTATTACATAATTGATTCCGAGTATTGGAAGTGCAGTAAAAAAGCTACAATTGTGCCATCTATGCAATCGAATCCATTTAAAATACCCCACCACCCGTCTGAACTACCTTAGCCGAGTTTCTAAAATAGTTGCTTTAAATTTAGGGACTCTATAACCACTGCGAACCCATTTCGTAATCCTCCACATGTTTCGCATGCTGATGATTCGCAATTCAATCGTATATCACTGCTGACTTCTGTAGTAATTACTTTGCTGTATAGATTACTTTGCAAACAAAAAGGGCTACTTTTTAATATCCTGCCCTAATAGTCCCATAGCTACAATCACTAACCTACCTAGAGAAGTCTATGTTGGGAAAATGAAAAATACCTCCTTGCTTGGCTTGATTTCCCTCTAAATACGCTCGCTCTAATATCTTGGCCTCAAGCGGGTTGATTAAGAAGGGGCTAAAACGGATATAAGCGGTAACCTGCCAATGTCAGGGCGTTTTTCACCATCTAAACGAAGATGGTACTGCATTTCCCTTGTAGTATAATCTACACGGAGAGAACGAATTGACTGAGTTCTGTTTCTTTTGAATGTGCGAATTGATCTTTTTGTCTCAAAGGGACACAACGCATTAAATCTCAACAGGAAATCGTAGCCTAGTCTGTGTAAATCTTGAAGGTAGACAATCGATACTTTGATGCACTTAGACTGATACCAGAAATCAAGGTTGACTTCTGTTTCTGTATGTTTCTCAAAATGAATAACCTCATAAATGCTAGATTTTGGAATCCAATGTCATGTTGATTGCGATTTATTGCGGCCTGCGCACTGTTGTTTCTTATGGCGTTTGGATTTTGGCATTTGAGAGTTGTTCGATTCATACATATTTTGTGAGCTTCGGTTCGTGTTTGCTATCCACTTCAATGTCCCGGTCACAAAAATCGCCAGCAGGAAGTTTGCTAAGAGAACACTGCTCGTTTTATGGAAGATACGGATTCCGTAAATTGAAGGATAGATGAAGAGCTCTTAAAGTAATAGATGAAAAGTTATGCATAAATAAAAGCTCTAGTGCTGATTTACTGCTTTGATTAAGAGTAATTAACGTAGTGAAGACTTACATAGGTCTTGCTGATTTTTTTTTTTAGATATAATGCACTTTTTGAGTTCAATGAAAATTCATCTGCTGAAAGTGACTCTCCAAATACGAACGTCACAATGGCGCAAAAAAAACGTGAACGATTTCTAGTTTCGAATGTGGAATTTATTTTTTAAGCGGAATAAAAACTTACATATTGATCCAGTTTTCTGAAGTTGGGTTCATGTTTTTAAAAAAACGCCAATCTTAAATCGTTCTAGAAATTCTAATTTGAGTCGTTAAATGAGAAAGTTCTGGATAGGTATTCTAGGGTCTGAAGGAGGGTGAAAAAAATCCCAAAAAGATAGCTGATAAAACACCAAAATCTCCCTCTCTAAACTTTCCTCTCACTAGAACATGATGCCCCCAAGTGTGTCTCACTCCACAAGGAGGATTAGGGTATTTATTACGGGGACAGAGAAAGCTTCTAGGGGATTGAGAAATAAAGGTCAGCCTCCCCTCGAATTTCAACAGAGGACCTCAAGCTAAAGGTAAAGGTAAAAAATCCCCAAAAAAGCTAACTTCAGAGCAAATAAATCAGCTTATTGATCACTTTATTTTTTCCTCAATAACTCTTGTATGAAAATCTATGTAAGTTCCCTCTCGAATAATATCCCGCCCTCGGACATGAATAGAAAGCAAAAGGGAAAAATTTCCAAAAAAAAAACAGTTGTTTCCTCATCAGAAAAAAAAGATAAGAAGAGAGAAAAAAACGTATAGTCCCCTCAATTAATAGTCCCCGTATAGACTTTCTTCTAAAATGTGGAAAGATTCGCCATCTTTAAAAAAATCATGTTATGGGTGGGTAAAGGCCTCTAAAAAAAGAGATTTCTTCTAATTTGCAATTAGAATTTTTAAAATTAAAATAAAAAGCCAGAAGAATACATACACGGATGGGTCCCAAATCCAGGGTCCTATGTAATAAAATTAGGGATAGATTTTTCGAAAACCTTTTCAGAAAACAAAAAATAAGACAATTAGAAAAATCAACCAATGACGTGGCAGTAAAAATGTATTTCCTTTCAGCTTGGCTATTTTATTTTCACTCGAAAATCAGTGAAAAAATTGGGAGGGATAAAGCTGCTTAAAACTGGAAAAAAATGGGATAAAAAAAGCACTGACTTTTATTGCTCGCTTTATACGTTGCATAGTGCCGTTCACATTTTGTGAACTGATTTAATGTATAAAAAATTGGATGTATAAAAAATTGGTGTACAATGCATAAAAATATGGATTCATAATTTGTTCAAGCTTTAAAAATTTGTTCTCCCCGTGCATCGTTAAGAAATTTTGTTCATAAAATGTGAACAGATTAAAGACTTGTATTAAAAAAATTTAAAAATAAATTAAAAGAAAATAAAAATTAACCGGAGAGAATAAATAAATAATATTGCTTGTGATTGGTCAATTGAAACTTTGTACTCTGATTGGTCAATTTTGGTGTCGATTTGATTAGCTTCTTTGTAAGGAGGAAAACATTTTTTCCAAAACAATTTTAATTGTCTTCTTTTCTAAAATTAAAAAACAAAATTATCCCTGCTAAAAAAATGCAACTAGTTTAAAAACTTGGTCTCCTCATGCGTGGTTAAGAAATTTTGTTCACGAAATGTGAACAGAATGAAGACATGCATAAAAAAATTTAACCAGGAAAGAGTGAATAAGAATGCTTGCTTGTGATTGGTCAATCGAAACCTGGTACTCTGATGGGTCAATTTTGGTTTCGATTTGATTAGCTTCTTTGTAAGGAGGAAAACTATTTATTCCAAAACACACAAACTTGTTTGATGACTTCTTCTTCATTTATAAATTTAAAAATAAAATTATTCCTGCTAAAAACTGTCAACTAGTTTATACATTGAAAAAAACTGTTCACATTTTGTGAACAATTTTTTTTCTAGGTTTAAAAATTTGGTCCCCATGCACGGTTGAGAAATTTTGTTCACAAATTGTGAACAGAATAAAGACAAGTGTAAAAAAAGAAAAGAAAAATAATTTACCAGGAAGGAGTGAATAAGAATGCTTGCTTTAGATTAATCAATTTTTGTGTCGATTTGAATATCTTCTTTATACGGAGGAAAACATTTGATTCCAAAACACAATTTTGTTCGCCTTCTTTTATGAATTTAAAAAAATTATTCCTGCTAAAAATTAGCAACTAGTTTATGCGTTGAATGAAAGTGTTCACATTTTGTGAACAAATATTTTCAACGTTTAAAATTTTGTTCCTCCTCATGCACGGTTAAGAAATGTTGTTCACAAAATGTGATTAGACTAAAGACCTGTATTAAAAAAACAAAAAAGAAAATAATTTACCAGGAGGGAGTGAATAAGAATGCTTGCTTGTGATAGGTCAATTATTTTTGTGTCGATTTGAATTTATTCTTTTTATGGAGAACATTTGATTCCAAAACACACAAGTTTGTTAGTTGCCTTCTTTTCATTTATAAATTTTAAATACATAATCAGCAATTATTTTAAGCAAAATTATCCCTGCTAAAAATAACCCACTGGTTTATACATTGAATAAAACTGTCCACATTGTGAAGTTTTCATGCTTTTGCTCACAGGTTGCTATTTCATCAGTTCGCAGTAAACTTTCATAAGGTTCTTCGTCTTCTATAGTTGTTTCGAAAAACATTGTTTTCTTGGCTATCTAAGTCATAATTTGAGTTGAAGTTGTCTTGGAGTGTTATCTAACTCAAAAGACAGATCAGAATAATAGTGGTCTGATTCTTCCTCACTTGAGTTGGTGAGAGGCGTTTTATTTGATATCATCCTAAATTGGTTCATTGAAGATCTTTGCAAGAAACAATTGCTAATATCAGTCAGACCTAATACCCTTTCTGGGAGGTATTTGTAACCAAGGTGTGAAACCTTTGCTAGTTTCGTTGTTAATTTCAACTTTGTTATTCTTAATCTAATTTGTTTTAGGACTGGGATAAATTCAATCATTGGTCCTCTCAGAATCATGTACGATGAAGTATTTTTCTTTACCATATTCATTGTAAAGTGGGATATCTATCGGATTTTTTAAAATGTTTAAGTTGGTGTTTTTCAAGATCTTTCAATTGAATTTCTACTGAGTATATCTGGAAAAGCTAGATTTTTTCTTGTGTCCATATAATGTTGAAGTTTTGAAACTGAAATATAAATAACATATATATCTGAAATATCTGTGTAAGTTTGCATCTTCTGTCCCACAAGTAATATAAAGCTTCGTGGTCGGTATAAGTATAAACAGGGTGTGGTGATCCTATTAAATTATGTTTATAAGTTTGTAAATTTGACACTATACCACATAGTTCTGTACCAGTAGTTGACATTTTTTGTTTTTCTTTGTTATTAACTCTTGAAGTAATTGATATAAGACGTTTCCCTTCTCGGAATTCTTGTACTAGTACTGAACTTATTCCTTTTGACAGGAAAGGATATCTTGTGTCTGGTATTGCTAGAATTTTGTCTGCGCCAATTCTTTCTATCATAACGTCAAATAGTTTTTCGTAATCTGGTGTCCATTTAAACGTTGTATCGATCCGTATCAAATCAAAAAAGGCTTTGAGTCTACATGTAAGTTCTTATTATTCACACTATGAAATCTCAAACAACCTAAAACTCTCATTAGATCTCGTTAGTTTTCTGTGGATTTTAATGCTCTGAGATCATCTACCTTTTTCTTAACTGGTTGTATACCATATTTACTTATTACACATCCTAAAAACTGTACACTTCTCAACAATT